AATTTTCATAGATCATATTAGATTACAGTATACCTGTATCATTATATTAAGTACATTAATAAATTGTAACTATTTATGTCACAAAAGACAAAATCTATAATATGAGAGATAATGTCTGTCTGTTTGTTGTCTGTCCATAATTGGAGGCCTGACACCTGGCCTCTTGTAGAGCCCATCCTCAGGCTAGGCTAGCATTTAAGAATGGCTGTCAATCCTCTTTGAATTTGAGGATGTCTTCTGCCCCCGCCCCTTGCCCCCCACACAAAAAAATGCATCTCCATGGCAGTACTGTAAGGGATAGGCATAATGAACTTAGTGAACAAATTCATCAATGTCAAACTGAGAAACAGGTCTGTGTTGATGAACAGTTTCCATTTCACAGGCCACTCATTGAGGAATTTCTCTTCTAAATTGGTCTCAGTTTTTATCCTTTTCTCCCTGCTATTGTAGAAAGCCAAAGAAGTCTTTATTGTCATGGTCATTCTCACCCTTGCTGCTGGTTTTCGTGCCTGAACCTGTCAGAATCTTGCCCAACAAAGATGCATCTTATCATGCAGTTTACTTCTAGCATTTCATATTAAGAAAAGGACCAAGGAATCTCTGGCATTACTTTTCAATAGACTGTCAGTCCCCATTTTGATCTTGCCTGGAAAGAAAGGACCAACTTTCACAGTCACAGTCTCCTTAATGGACCAAATTTCAGAAATTTGGTCATTTTGGAGCTCAGTCCTACTCACCTTTATACAGTACATTAAACTATTTGAATGATCAAAATGTTATTATTTTAGACTTTAAATACACAGTGCCTAGCTTCTAAAACTAAATAAGACTTCTAAAACTTCTAAAGACACTTCATGGATTTGTCATATGTAACTCTATGATCTTTAATATATTTAACTCCATGGTACCCCCAATACTTTTTTAAGAATGACCATTCAAAACTCAGGAAGCAAAGTAAAAGAACGTGAAATATAGTTTTAACATAATTTATTATTATTTAATATGATTTCACAACTCTACTTTCATAACAATGAAATGCTTATTCTTGTGTTGATCGTCACCATTATCGTAGAACATGCTCATTATCTTCATGGATAATAATTAAGATATAAATTAATCAAATATTTATTTGTATCTCTGGTTATATTACCATCTCTCAGTATCAGTAAAAAATTGGCAGGCATGTATGTACCAAAATAAAACTTTGTATAATATATATTTCTGATCATATGCTTAACTAACTTGCAGGAAATTTATCCTTTAGGAAAAATTGAACCTTCATATAGAATATAAAATACTGTACAAAACACAACAAATAAAAGCTTTATACAGTATGTGTGTATAAACATTTATTAATAACAAAATTAATATTAATAACATTTATTAATAACAAAAATTTAATATCATTATTTTTCAGCATGAAGAGCTATTGTATGTTTACTAATTTCAGGTCTTATCTATTAGCTTAAAATTTACTGTAAACAAGAGAAAATGTCTTCTTGTCACATACAGACATGAAGATAAAGATTTCTATGTTTCTCGCTCACATATAACGGGTTTAGGCAGAGTAGAGACTTCCAGCAGTGGGTTGGTCAAGTCGGGGTCTTCACCTTCAAGGCGACTCACTCCTGTGCTGCTGCGTCCAGTTGTACAAGTAATGTTAACTGCTGCAGCCGGATATGATGCTGGAAGCAAAACATTGTGAAAACATGAATATTACTGATGGTACTTCATCTGTTCGTGTGCACAAGGAAATAAATTGAGAACATTATAATCCTCAGAATTAAGTGAAAAGTTCAGGTGAATGGTCTACATACAGCTGGATATACACAACCCAGTGGATGTTACTTACATTTTTGCTTGGGGTAAGCAGACATGGTAACCCCCTGGTGTATCAGCGAAGCTTTACAGAAAACGAAGCCTGAAAACTACCAAATGACTCTGCAACCAATTCACACAGTACAAAGGATTCGCTCATACTAGCTTGAAGCTCATTAGTACTGAACGCCATACCAGGTGGCCTGGCCCTCAGCACTCGGCCAGCTTCCTAGGTCAGATCTGTTGCCGATGACACATCGTTTGCTGCTGCTCATAGCGCTTTCAGTCCATCAGATTACAACCAAACCCTGTTGCTTCAAGCAAAGTGCAAGCCATCCTTAGATGCTTGTCTTGCGGGGACCATGTACTTTATGTATTGTTCCATCTCTTCATTTAGTATAGGCTTCATGCATGTTTTAATTCTGACTTGATGTGTGTGTGTAGGGAGGGGGTTGGCTCTTGTTGCATTTTGCGCTGCATGCACTCATGGTTTTCTTCCTTGTATGCTTGCTAATGTTGCCCATGCACAGCCAGAATTCCCTTCTCTGGTGTGTTCAGGAGTTTGCCCTGGAGAGGCCTGGCTACTGAGAAGAAAAGCCTCGCCTTGGGCTGTTCAAGGATAGCCGTTTCCCTTGGCGCGTGATATCTTCCTTAAGGCAAGAGGAAAGTAGAAATCAGTACTATTGAATGTGGACAAAGTGGAAAAGTTTTTGTACTGATGTTAGAAAGAAAACTTAACTTGCTCTAACCTACCTTTCCTAGGCCTAACACATGCTATTTGAGGCCTAATATAGTATATATACTGTATATGCTATACTAGGCCTAGGATTATTTAAATTTGGTTTTTACCTTTAGTTTGGTTTTAACTTTATTTTTTTCAAACTGTGTAAAGTGAATAGTACCAAATTCTACCCAATTGTTCATTACATCTATGTACGATGATTCACACATAGTATCACAAAAAGTACTATTTAAACAGGAAGATGGGTTACAGAACCCCACTGGGACCTGGGGACCATACAGCTGCTGCATGTTCCAATTTTAGTCTCACAAAGGTCGTGAATACTTTGCAGGCGATGAGTCACAATAACGTGGCTAAAGTACAGTATGTTGACCAGACCACACACTAGAAGGTGAAGGGACGACGACGTTTCGGTCCGTCCTTGAGAATGGACAATCGACTTTTGAATGGTCCAGGACGGACCGAAACGTCGTCGTCTCTTCACCTTCTACCTTACCTTGAGGTTACCTTGAGGTGCTTCCGGGGCTTAGCGTCCCCGCGGCCCGGTCGTCGACCAGGCCTCCTGGTTGCCGGACTGATCAACCAGGCTGTTGGACGCGGCTGCTCGCAGCCTGACGTACGAGTCACAGCCTGGTTGATCAGGTATCCTTTGGAGGTGCTTATCCAGTTCTCTCTTGAACACTGTGAGGGGTCGGCCAGTTATGCCCCTTATGTGTGTGGTGTGGTCGTGAATACTTCTAGTGTGTGGTCTGGTCGTGAATACTTTCTTTAATATTTTATTTTCATGTACAGTATTTAAAAATTATTCTGAAGTTACAAAGCATAGCCTAGGCTCCTTCCACAATATTTTATGTTTTATTTAAATTTTCAGTACAGTATTTTCTTCATGACCATGTGTTTGCATGCCTCACTTTTTGAGTTAACATATGTGAAACTGTTATCCTTGAGCTGGTCAGTGTAAAAATTTCCACATCGATAATTCAAATAAGGACACTGAAAACAACTCAAAATCGAATCTGTCAAATTACCAAAACTGGTGAAATGCCCTCCATGCCACTACATACTGACTAAAAGTAGCAAATAAAGAAGGAATGAAATATTAATATTTAATTTGTGAAATCTGCAATTATTTTTATTTATATATACTGTACAAGAGTTTTACATTCTTGTAAAGCCACTAGCATGCATAGCATTTTGGGCAGGTACTTAATCTTAATTTTCCCTGGAATACAACCTACCAAAATGTTTAACAACCAGGTACCCACTCACTGCTAGGTGAACAGAAGTGTGCAGTTAAGGATTTGAGCTTAGTCAATCCTCCCTGGCCAGAATACGAACCCAGGCCAAATCGCTCACGAGGCGCGGTGCGAGTGTGTTACCACTGCACCACGGGGACTGCTAATAAATACACACCTACTCCATGAAACACTCAAGATACAGCTGTGGATATCTTACTAGTGTAAGGTTGTCATAGCTTAGGCAATGCTAGAGAGTGCAGAATATGCTAGAAGAGGTAGCCTTTGCTATCCTCCTCCTTTATTATACTGTATATTTTTCAACCTTTTTTGCGGGCAAGCACCTCCACACGTTGAGATGGGGAAAATAGGGTAATGATGGCAGTGAAAAGTATTAGTGAATATTAACCTGATGTTAGAAAAACAAGAAGCAATCATATTTTGTTAATTTTAGTAAATCATGATGCAGTTATTTTTTCATACTTGTTACATAATATGGTATCATTAACATTATTTAACACTTTAGTGGTCTGTTTTCTCCACGCTTTCCCGACTCTAAATGTTCAAAGTTCCCTGTGCCGTTCAATGATGTGAAATTTTTTTACAGTCATTTTACGTTTTCTAACTTATTTGTTGAGTTATACTGTAACTATAAATTTAGTGTTAAAATGTTCACAGAATAATTGACTAGATAATAGATACAAAACAAAATGTGTTTATAAAAGATTTTACTCCTCTCCATGCATTTCCAAAGGTAAACAGTGGGCTTGGTAGGTCTAATCGGCTATGCATAAAATGTTTACAATCATTTTACATTTTCTTTGTTATTTTTTGGGTTATACGCTGTAACTATAAATTTGGTGGCAAAATGTTCATAAATATACTTACAATAGTTCATGCATGACAAGTGATGAATATACAAATGTTTATGAATAGTAATTGGATGACTTATGTTTTAGCTTCTTCGGAACATTTACTGTCGGAGTACAGATGACGCATTTTAGCATCACTGGAAAGTAAAAGGTTTTAATACACAAGTCGTGCAAAAGCATTAAATGTTAGTAATCAGCAGCAAAATTATTTACTTGATTATGCAAGCAAAACACTAAACCCAAGTTAAAAGCTGAGCATGTACTAAGCTGTTAAGAGTGCAACACAATTAATTATGCAGATAAATTTGCAGAGGATTAGAAATAGCAAGGCAATACAATATTTAAATAATGTTTATTTAAATGATTTACAATAAATAACATTCATTAATACAATACATATTATAGCATGCACTGAAGGTAAAGTACTTAGATGTGACTAAATTGCTAAATTACTTATTTTACCTCAAAATTAATCACAAGATTCATTATATTCCATTACAACTTAACTAAAGATTTATTTGTAGTCTTGCACATATCAGGATATAAAATAAATAAATTACACCCACGGCACAACCATGTGAAGAGTCAAGTAGCTGCCCTTCCTCGCAGCCGTGTTCCGTCTTCAACAACACTAACATTACATCCCAATTTTTTCCCCATTCAGTGAATTAAATAGTAGAAATATTGAGTGAATGTTAATTATAGAACTAAAGGAGAAAACTAAACAATACTGGGCATATTCCTAACAGTCAATGAAGTTACAAAAGTTACAAAACAGTTCTTTTAAACTAGCTCCACAAAATTCTTAGTTGCTTAGCTAAATAAACTGTGGTTCAGTGCCTGAATCCATTATGTGCCTGTGTACTCTTTCCACCAACTCGCATGGGAAGGGCATGGGGCCACTACTTCCCACAGGATGGGTAGGAGATTCACCGCTGCCCATGGGATGGGCAGTGATGAATCACTGGGCTATCCACTACCACTGGTAGCCTAACGGCTGGGAGAGGCCTGAGAGTTGATAGCTTTTGGGATTCATGCTCCGAAGGTTCCGGGTTCGCTCCCCGGCGGAGACGGAAACAAATGGGCAGAGTGTCTATCATCCCGATGTGCCTGTTCACCTAGCAGTAAATAGGTACCTGGGAGTTAGACAGCTGCTACGGGCTGCTTCCTGGGGATGTGTAACAAAAAGGAGGTCTGGTCGAGGACTGGGCCACGGGGAATGCTAAGCCCCAAAATCATCTCAAGATAACCTCAAGATAGAATACCGCTGCCCACGGGATGGTATGAGATCCACAAATGCCTACAGGATGGGTACTGGGTTCACCACTGCCCACAGGATGGGTATAGGGTGCATAACAAATGACTGAACTAAAATTATTGAGTCATGCTAAAAAAAAAGTCTTCAGAGTTACTCAAGAATTGCATTACTTTAGAGCAATCTACAATAAATCGTATTTATACACGTCAAAGGCTTGGATATTAAGTTCATTATAAATTCTTTTCATAGGGGCAACCCTGTGTCAGTAATGTCCCTAGTCTGCCCACACTCGCATTGCAGAACATATTGGCTTCGTTTATCATAGTTGAACTGTGATGTGGAAATACTTTAATGTTTCATCTGAGACAATAAAACATCTTTACATTTATAAATAATGCACATCATAATGCTACAAGGTTGATATGTACATTGGTAACATTAGTATACTTAATAGATCATCATAGCATTCAATATTTCAGACAACACTTTAGGCCAAGCACTCTTTTTAGATGCATTTTAACGCATGACGGTTGTGTGAAAAGTCTAAGAACCTAAAGGTTTGCTAAGATCATAGTACTGAACATCTTGGCCATTATGAAAAGAATCAAGAAATTTCTTAAAATTTAAAATATCTTTGATCACTTTACAGTAAACATAATTATGTTGTTTACAGAATTGTTTGTCTTTTAGATGTTAACTTCTTATAGTCATATGTTATCGTTCTTGATGTCTGCTTCTACTCTTTCTTCTACTGCTCTACTTGGCCAACCTTATATGACAGGCTTCATGGTATTTCATCTTTTTTTACACAGGATGGTACAGGTGTAGAGAACTTCTGACATGTCAGCAGGCTTAGTACTTTCCCTTGCTGCAGGTCATGTTAAGTCTTACCTTAGCTGGTGGTGTGAACACGTGTACCACCACTGCACCGCATTGTGTGTCCTTACGTTATCCAACTTCATTGCTATTACAAACGTTAAATTATTTTATACAAGCTCAAATAATGAATAATACCTGTCTTAACTTGGTTTAAATTTTAGAAATGTATTGTACATTTTTGCATTATAACACTAAAGAAATACTAGGTGGTTAATGTAGAAGCAGCTTTAACTTTTTCTGTTTTAGGAAAGATTTCATGCACAATGCTACTGATCATTCTTAACACCCAGAAAATCAGAGTGACAGATGGTAAACGAGTAATGGTTAAATTTTCAGAGTATTTTACGCAAACAAAATTGACTTGCCCATTAGCCCTCCATTATGCAGAGACAAACACTAACATACTGGAATCCATGCTGCACCTGGCAAATCATGAGTATTCTTATACCCGATGATAATAAAACACTTTCTTAACAAGATATTAAAAATACTGGTAAATAAGATACTGTTTATGCAGGCTTAACGGAATAATTCATGCTGTTTTCCAAGGAAGTATCGATGATGCAGATGTGAGTATCATGGTGGCTAGCATTACCATTCACAACAGGATCCATCAAGTCTGCTAGGGAGTTAGTAGAGAGGAAATGTTATTTAAAGAAAGATTGGTTAAACAGATTCCACTCATTCACTTCTTGTCTGCAATAAGCAAGGTGTTACAGTGGACAAAAGTAAATCCACTATTTAATGCAAAATTTATTCGTTTCCAAGAACAAAGAAATGTTAAACAAATACTCTTTTTAAACAATGAAGACTATTGGTAATTACTGAAATTTAGGGGTAAACTTCTGTATATGGCCATACATCAACCTGATGTCTCAGAGTAACACAAACCAATGAAAGCACTACAACTTTGGTTGGTTGACCAGAAAATCAAACCGATCCAACATGCACATCACTATACAGTATCTCTGACCAGCAGATAAAACTAATGACTGTGGGCTGACACCATTGAGGCAACCCAATAGCTGAATCCCAAGAGTTGGAGCTCCTGAAGAACCACTCTGGTAAACCTGATAAATGATCAAGAAGACAGAAAACTGCAGGAGGTATGACCGACCTGAAACTCCCGCTAATCCTCAAGCCTAGTATGAATGTGCCAATACATGTCCTTAGGACACAGGCAAATGAGCCAAGGCTAGCGCAGAAGTATCTGAAAACCCGTGATTATGATAGTCGTCCAGACTGAAGGATATCAGATGTGCACATTGGCCCTAACAAGTCAAAATTCATGTGAGGTTTGAGTGTCTTTCACCACGGAAACTCCAGGAAGAGATCTGCAAAGCCTTCGTCCTGCAGGGGCCTGTATTTGTGTTTTAAGTTAGCTTCACACATGTGTTTTTATACATGCCTCGCCATTCAGTGAATCTTGACTCATTTGTTCGCCTTGAGCTGCTTGTGTTTAGGGGGTTAGTTTTTCCTAGGCAATTGCTGGCATTGCTTCTGTCTAGCCATGGTTCATTTCCTGATGGGATTTGGGTGTCTGTTCCTTTGGGACTGCTTCCTCTTGACGGGTCCATTTGTGAGTAGTGTATAGCTCTTTTGACTCCTCTGTGAGGATCTGAGGTTGAGGTAGATGGGGTTCTGTTTTGTCTAGGAGTGCATGAGGGTTCATATAACATAATTGTCTGTGCACCAAATGTGCCCTCTCCAGCTGTGTATTTTCATAATGGGCATCTGGCTTATTCTGCAAGCTCCTCATGCCTTGGTTCATGGGCTCTTTAGGTCGTCTCTCTGGGCCTCTGGTGAGAATTGGTCTGTCCCTCTTCCTCCCTTGGGGTTGGTACTTCCAGATCAGGATTCCTCTCCCATCTCTTGTGTCAGGTCATTGTGGGTTGGCTGGACTCGGGCATTACCTTCATTCTTATGTTTTATTGTTTAGCACTGAAAGAGCTGTTATTGCTTGTATTTACTATTTAATTCTTCTTTGGTGCAGTTTCGTAGGTTGTCTCACCCATTCTTTACCTCGAGCCTATTCATGTTCCTCCTGAGCCATCCTGGTCTTTTGACAATATTTTAGGCTTTCTCTCCTCACTTCACTTCTCGGTTTTCCCTTCAGCTCATGATGTAATTTTTAAGGTGGTGGTCTTCTTGTTTGTTCCTTGCCTTCGTCTGCCATGTGCAGGAGCTTAATGCTCTTCTACAGTGGAGGAGGTTTTGTTCGTTTGGCCCAGGTGGGCATTCTGTTCATTTGCAACCTTCTCCTTTTCTGGTGTAGAATGAGTTGGCTGGCTTCTTGAAGGTTTCCTTATTGATTGATGCTTGGTTGGTCCAGCCAGAGGGGTGTATCATTTGTTGTGTCCAGTGGCTGGTCTTCACCACTATTTGCGGGCTACCTGTTCTGCCCAGGTTATTGTGTTGCCTTGGTCACCCTGTTAAAAGGCTTGCATTTACCAGTGTCATTAAATCTAGCCAGCCTGTGGTCTTCCCTGAGGCCCAAGATGTTTGCAAGTAAGCTGCTTTGGCGACGGTCTTTTCCAACATGTCCTGGGATATTTGGGCTCAAGGATTCTGGCATCCCAGTATTATTTGTTTAATACTCCTCGTCCCAGTCAGTTGTTGCTTTGGGCCATGTCTCCCGGCCTGGACACTCTCGCCTTCGTCTTTGTACTTGCTGCTTCTAATACCTGGCCTTTCCTCCAGGTTTATTGGTGGTGGGTTCCTCAGGCCCAGAACTGACCAGGGGAACTGGGTGTGGGCTGGGGCTGGGCTGCCTGGTGGCAGCTATCAGTACTAATAGGTTCAAGCTAGTTTTGAGTGATTCTCTTCTTTCTTTTGAATTGTTTGCGGAGTTGTTTATGAGTTTTGAGGCTTCATTTTCTTTGAATACTCGGTTATTTGTAAGGCTTCTCTGATCTTCTGGAAGCTTTTTCCAGTAGCGTGGTGGATTGTTATTTGCTCCCTGCACCTATGTGAGAGGCCAATTTCTGACTCTGGTCCCCGGTAGGCATGACAGAAATCCTATGACTAATATGTATCATTAGATGGAGCAATTACCGTGAGATAGCTTCAGGAAGCCACTGGGACTAACAGAAAGAGGCATTTCATCACATTCGACACCAGGTGTTTTTCCATACTAAACTGGCAGGTTGACAATCACCTTAACCAAGCTTGAGGATCCTGACAATAATTCAGTATAAAAGTTTGAAAAAATGCAGACCACTTAATCTTTATGTATTTGTAAATAAGTTTCATACAAAAAATGAGCTTTAAGGACATGCATGTAAGACCACACATGAAGATGAACATAAAGGAAAGAATCATTATTAATAGCAGGCAAAAGTTGATGCAGTACCAATCACCAGCAAGCATACCCTGTATTAAGAAATATTAAAAAATAACATACATCTGAGAAGGCTGTGTAGTTCATCTGGTGATGTGGCAATCTTGATATCTTCATTAATGGACTGGAGTCCCTTCTTCACACTAGGTGGAACATTTGTGAAGACCAAATTTTGTTGGCGTTTCTCGAAGTCCAAACATAGACTCCCGAGTCCCTAAAATACAGATTGTCTAATGCCAGTGATCAATGATAAGCTTAGTAAGGTTAAAATTAAATGGACATAAACATGTAAATAGGCAACATTTGCCAAGATAATTAAAAATGCATTTGTACAAAATAAAGTTTTCAAAGATCCAGGATACATGAAAGGCGTCTCAAGATAAAGCACAAAAAATGTTCAAGGAGCTAAGTTGCAGTTGCAACTTAGCAGCTGCAAAGCAGTTGGCCCAGATGGCATTTCACCTTGGGTTCTGAGAGAATACTCATTTACTTCAATTGATTTTTCAGTCATCTTTCTGTACAGGAGTCTTGGCAGATACATTGTATAGAAATAGGTGAATATAGTTCCAATCTACAAAAATGGTAGCAGGGAAGACCCGCTTAATTATAGACCTGTGGTGTAGTAGAACACATAATTAAAACAAAATGGGCTGAACATCTGGAGAGAAATGATAAAATGCCACAGACAGTATGGTTTTTGTACAGGAGGATCAAGTGTAACAAAAAGAGTTAAAATATACCTAAGCTAGAAAGTAGAAGAAAAGTGGTGATATGACCACTATGTACAAAATAACCAGTGCTGAATGTAATGAAATGCCAATTTCTGGGTAAGACCCAGTGGTTCCCTGAAGCCATCTTGTTGAGATGGCTCCCAACTACTAGATCGCATTAGCTGTGCATTTAAGTGGAGGTTGTCTGAGGACTGTTTGTTATTGTTTAGATAGCAGATTTTTGCTGGGTGATGATGGACTTGAGGTAATTTGCAGTAGTTGAACCCCCCATGCACAGATACCGTATATAAGATAAGGATAGATTAGCAAGTAGTATAATGAGAGGAGAGCAGAGTGGGAAACATATCTGATTTTAGAGAGTATATTGACAGTTTTTTTAGACTGTTTTTGATTTTATGTTGTATGTGGGTAGTGAAATTGAGTCTATGTATAGGCCAAGGAATTTTCCATCATCTTTATTGCTAATGTTAACATTGACTATCTGAAGTTGAATTTTGTTTGATGATTTACTTCCAAGTAAATCATAAAATTTTTTAATTCTGGTTTACAAAGTAATAATCATTACTGAATATGGCTGGCCCTTACCTTGGCTGCGGTGAAATCTATTCCAGTAAAATGACTGCAGTCCACAACCACTGTCAAACTTCCTTGGCCTGTAGTCAGACCAGCTTTACTCACTGTTGCTCTCACATATTCCACTGATGGGTAGAACAAACCATTAGTTGGCTCAACTACCACATAGGCAGGCTCATCTCCATCCTGTGGAAAAAACGTAGAACATTTATTGAAATTTATAAATACAAATATCACGTTACCAACTTTTAAACTATAAAACAAATTTGCTAATGCAAATACAAATATATGCTCTAATATTCTTGCAAAGCCACTAACACGTATAGCATTTTTAGCACACAGATTTGGGCTTAAAAACACAACAGTAAAACAGATGTAATTAAAGAGTAATTATGTCAGTTATGATGTAATACAAAAATTCAGCATTAAATGAAATGCCATTCGGCATTTCATTTCATTTGCCAGCTCTCTAAAACTAGTCCGGGAATAACCACAAAACTAAGCAAAAGTCTCACATTAAAGTTAAAATGCTAGAAAACAAGCAACTACTCTGACCAACTAGGAGGCCAGAGTAGTCCCCCCCCCCCCTGAATCATCACACTGCAAGGTAACTAAATCCAAGAAATTTGTAACTAACAAAAACAATATCAACAATTGTTCCTGTGGTGAGCTCGCTGCCTGAATAAACATGGCTGCTACAACCCACCAAACATACAAAGGATATGCGAACAAGCCTGAATGGTCCCCAGGACTATATGCGACTGAAAACTCACACCCCAGAAGTGACTCGAACCCATACTCCCACACCCATACAAATACAAAGGATAACCATACAAAGGAACCCATACAAAGGATATATAAATTTTATACTTGACAACACTTCAATAATCCCATTAAGAATTATTGCAATAAGGATAAATAATACTGTAACCTGTTTCTTGATGATGTCTGTTTTAACTTTTGGTCTTGCAATACCAAAGAGAAGAATTGCCAGATTAATGCCTGCTCCAACTAGGATACCATATTCAAGCTTCCAAAACAGGCAGCATAAGAATGAACCCCACAGAGTCAATTCGTCCAGGCGTCTTGCTTTCCAAACTGGGACAACAATATCGTACTCTATCATGAATATTACAGCACAGATGATGACGGCTGCAAGTGATGCCTTTGGAATGAACCTGTTAAAAATAATAGCAAACTTTACAAAATGATTGCATTACTTGTGTGTGTGAATGACCAAGCTGGCCAGAACTAACATCTTGTGCAGTGTTTAATATATTCACACAATTATGCTTTGTTAATTGAAGGTTAACCATAATAATTGTCGCAAATTGTGATACAGATTGTAACTCTTCTGATAATCATTTACATACATAGCAAAATAACATCAAATGCTTTCCATAGTATAGATTTGTTTGAGAAAAGCATCAAAATAATATTAAAAGAATAGATTAAAAGATATGGCAGGGAGTGTAGATAATACACTTCTCTCTAAGTTAGTCACTTTGCTGCTTCCTTAGGAAAATCCTGCTATCCTACAGTAGCCTGTTACCTCCAGCCTGGGTCAGATAATCCTTTTCATTTTGAAACTGATTCTTTTAAAGACATGCTCTCCAAGACATATACAGAAGAAGGAAGACATTAGAGAATTTTCAATCCAGCCCTGAATGACTATCAGAAGGTGCACTTTTCTATATTCAAACACCACCTGCTACCTTATATCAATACAATCACCAAGAAATGTTTCGTTACTGCATTAGTGACGTCTGATTAATACCACCACCCACTATTAGATGGCAGCACTGAACATGTAAACAGCCCCAGCCAGCAATTATACCTTTCATTTCTACTTACCACCAAAGAAAAGTCAGGGACAAAAGGAGGGCTCAGGGACCCCTGAGTGACACTCAGAAAAGAGGGGATATGATCACCAAATATAAAATCATGACTGGCATTTACAAAGTTGACAAGAATTCTTAAAATCTGCAATGTCTAAAACAAGGGGCTACACACTTAAGATTAGGAAACAAAGGTGCCAAAAAGATGTACAAAAGTTATCTTTTTTTAGAAACAAAGTTGTAGACTTTGCAGTTTCAAAGCATCATATGACAAGGATTATAGGAAAGACAAGATGCCACACATAGCTCTCATACTGTTACTAAACTTAGGTAACTACACTTAAATAATTACACACCAACAGTGCTACATAGCCTTCCCGGTTTGGTGCCTTCTTTTGATAATTACCTTACCTTACACACCAACAGATGAATGTTTCAAAGGATTTCTAGGCACAAGATATAATGAAGGGAGGTTTTCTTGGCAGGTTAATGATTATTGAGGACTTGCTAAAGAATTATGAAGAAAAATAATTAAATGAAGGAAAATGAAGAAAGAAACAAGAAAATGAAGATCTCAAGAATGAGTTTTGTAATTTAAAAGGAAATATTTTCCTGCAAGGTAAGGAAATTAGCAGCTTGACTGATAAGGTAAAGAGACAGGAGGTACAACTCAAGAAACTAGTGAAAGAGTAATGAGATACAGAAAATGAAGAGGGTGACTGAAGAAATTAACCTGAAAAAAAAATAAACTCGCATGGTGAACAACTCAAAGTTAGATGACCAAACCACACGTCAGAAGATAAAATGAAGACGACGTTTCGGTCCGTCCTCGACCAAAACGCATATTGCCGGGGTGCTGGGAAGATGAAACACTATGAGCTTAGCTCTAATCCTGTATTTACACTTAGATAATTACACTTACCGGTAAGTAATTAGAACTGAGCAGGGAAACCAGCTGTGAACTGGGGCTAAGCCTCCTGGTGGCAGTTATTGGCACTAATGAGTTTGAACTAGTTTTGAATGAATTTATTGTTTTGTTTTGGTCATTTGTAGAGCTGTTGGCCGTTTTGAGGTTTTGTTACCTGTGAACGTTCCAGTTACCTGTAGAGTTTAGCCGACTATCTGGATGCTTTCCCATTATGGTGGCAAATTGTCACTTGCTCTCTCTGCCTCTCTGAGGGGGCCAGGTTGCGGCTGTGGTCTCCACTAGTCCAAACTCGACTGTGACTGATGTGACTCAATAGGTGGAGAAATCTCAGGGAGATAGCTTCAGGGTGTCACTGGGGGCTCCCCCAGAGAAACCCATCTGGATCAATAAAAACACATGGACGAAAAAAAAAAAAAAAGACCTGGGTGGAAAGACAGAAACATTTGCAAAGGATGGGCAGAAACACAGGTTACAGTAAAAGCTAGCCAATAGCAGATTGGCAGCTAGCCAATCAGCTGTACTAACCAACCCTCAATCAGTTTGAGGGTTCCGTTAGTACAGTCGGGTTCATTATCGACCCAGAATCAAGAATTCTGGATTCGAATCCCAGGCGAGACAGATATGGTTGGGTGCGTTTCCTATCGGCTCATGTCCCTGTCCACCTAGCAGTAAATAGGTACCCGGGAGTCAGTCAGCTTGTTGTGCGGTTGCATCCTGGGAAGGGTCAGTAATTCAACTCTGGAGACTTTGATATAAGCCTAACATATACTGTACACTATGTATTGACTGGGTGCCTGTCCCCTTACACAATTTAATAATAATAATACTGTAATAATAATTTATTATCAGGTACTGCAGACCTGATAATTTACAGCCCTTACATGTACCCTTCTCGCACAAACGAAAAGAAGCAACATAACTTCAAATACAAATACAAAATCATCAGTGAATACAAACTTGAAGTATGCTGTAAGGAAAGCCAGGGCCAATATAACCAGTATGCCGGTTACGATGCCTCCTGCAGGAGTTTTGACACCACTTGTAGCATTGACAGCAGTTCGAGTGAACGATCCGGTTACTGGCATTGACTGAGCAAAGGATCCGACGAGGTTGCAAAATCCCAGCGCAAACATTTCCTGAAGAAAATGTTATTATCTTCAAAACAATAATACAAGTATTGCTTCAAAGTATATGGGGTGTAAGACACAAGCTTGTTAATGAAAATGTCATCTAATAAATATTCATCAGGCACAAGCATATTGGGACAAAATATAAATGTGTTATGTTTTAAACCAGCACTGAATTATTTCAAACTGTCCCAATTAAACAACAAAAAATCAGCAGCATCGAATGCAATGAAATGCAAATTTTTGGGAGAGCCCCCGGTGTTTACCTGAAGCTAACTTGGTGAAATTGCAAATTACTGTATTGCAGTAATTAGGCTGCTAATACTAGAAATCTTTTAATGTGTGAATAATCATAGATTATATGTGCAGCACAGTGAACTTTAATAGTCCCCGATTACTGCTTTTTGAACATGGGTAAACATTTAAGGATCAGTCACCAATCACCCCTAGGATTCCAAAGGAATGATTATGAGGAAAGATTACATACATTAAACCTCACATCACTAGAAGCCAGAAGAGGTAGGGGACACATGATAACAACATATATAATTTTCAGCTGTAGTGACAGGGTACAAAAGGAAATTATTTTGAATAAATGGTACAAGGGGACACAGATGAGCCAGCAGTATTGCAAAAAATTTGTTCATTGCCATAGTAGTGAACAAAATTAATGCAATATAAAGTTAAGTGGTGGAGGAAGACTCCACACACAATTTCAATGGTATGATAGCACCCAACAGTTGATTGCAGGCCGAGAAGCGGGACCAAAGAGCTGAATCTCAATCCCAGCAAGTGCAATTAGGTGATCCGGTTAGTAGATTTGGTCTATTATTTAGAGGAATCCACTATATGGAGGTCCAGATTTTTGAGGTTCCACTGTATATCATATGAAGACCCAATGAAATACTGTATACGATAACTCACCTGTGTGGCATCAATAGTTTTGCCACCAGAAAAAGCACTGGCAATAGCAATACTTTCTATGATGGATATAAGTGGGATGACTGCAATCCCAGACCCAACGTCTAACACCATATCACTAAAAGTTAAATTAGTGCCATTGATAACTGTAGAAAATGGAGGCACCTTAAAAGCTGGTAAACCAGGTTGTACCTCTCCTAGAAAAGAAAAAGTTTGTTTTATAATATAGAATATACACTATAGTATGTATATATATACTGTATATAAATATTCTTTTAAATAATGACAAAACTTTAAAATCATAAATATTTGTTATTTTATTTATTTATTTATTTATTTATTTATTTATATATACAAGAGTTCTTACATTCTTGTACAGCCACTAGCACGTGTAGCGTTTCGGGCAAGTCCTTAATCCTAATATTCCCCGGAATACGACGTCGCCAAATCGTTTAACAACCAGGTACCCATTTTACTGTTGGGTAAACAGAGGCTACAGTTAAGGATTGGCGCCCAGTAAATCCTCCCCGGCCAGGTTTCGAACCCAAGACAAAGCGCTCGCAAAACGCCAGGCGAGTGTCTTACCACTACGCCACGGAGGCTGCCCGTTAAATAAGAATTTAACATTAAATTTTGAATTAATGAATGAAAGACAAATAATTACATATTTATTATTGAAAAACTTTAGTTTCTCTTGGCACAGCCTGCAGGTAACAGTAGAAATTAAAGTATTGTAAAGTTTAAAAAAGAAAAGAATATACTGAAGAATTTAGAAAACTTAGTGGAATTTAAACAAAAATGTAAATCACTGGATATATAAATGGCATATAGCCTTTTTTTCTTGTGGTAACATGACCATACAGAATGTTTTTCAATGAACAATACACTGAAATTATATGACAAAGCAATGTGCTATTTTTCTCAAGGTCAGAACCATACAACAGCCAGACAAAGTAGACAACTACACCCCTGGGCAGCCAGAATCTCTCCCATTATCTCCATCTGTTCACAGTGGAAAAAGAGAGATGCTGGAGAAAGAACTCTAACCAGCCCAGAATGACCAGAAAGCTCATTAATCTGCACTGTAAACCCTAGCCAAGCAATACTGTCTCGGCTCTACTAACTGCTAGTTGGCCTACCTGGCCACTACTGCAGATTGTCACAACCAATGTCCTTATGCAAATGATACACAGTTTTTTTTTAGCAATACTTATCCTGCCTCATTCCTAGCCAAAATCCCTCACTAGACAGACTTAGCATACAACATGAGACAACTACACAAGAAACCATGATCTCCAAGGAAGAAGACAGCAGTTTACTGAATTTGTCTCGAGCCTGCCCAAACTATCCAGAGACAAGTCAGGATGATTGCAATACGGTTTATGACTAGGAGCCTGGAGTTGAATAGGGTAGTGGCATCTGGTGCCAATCGAGGTAAGTTGCCAGTGTGGTCTAATCGAAGTGGCACCTCCACCAGAACCATAGAAATGAACTTTAGTAAAAGAAAAACCAGTACTAACACAAATATGATAATATTTGTATTTGCTAACATAAAAGTCACTCTTGCAACTAGCCTCCTCACTAAAACAAATACGTGTTCACAGCCTTAATGGAAACTCTCACAAAGGATTATTTATGACAGTGAAACAGGGATACCAGAGTACAGTCTTTTCAAATGTAGCCAAAATAACAAGTTACAGGGTGGGATCAGCCTTTACATTAAAGACACATTGCCACCGAGCTGTTTACCTGTTCAAATGCACATGTCAAACGGATAATCATGCAATAGCTGACCCTACAGTGTGAGTCAATGAGGGATGATTTCAAATAATGTGAAAGTCTTAAAAGTTCTGAGCATACAGAGTTTCATCAAAAGCATTAAACGTCCAAGTATACTACATCCACTGGAAGTAAAGCTGGTTACCATTTCTAAAATTGTGAGCAGTATTATTTACAGTATTACTATGGCAAGAAATATTATACTCTAGAATAATTGCAAAACATACTTTAAATATACTGTACCTCCCATATATATATCATACCTGTTATTATGAAGGGCTGGTGATGGTCAAGTGCGTAGGCAATTATTAGAGCTATAATGACGACTATAGCATTGCGACCAACTGAGAGTAAAAATACACACTTTTTCCAAATTCTAGTTTTCATCTCGTCATTCACCTGAACTTTTACTGCTTTCAAATCTTTCAGTTTCTGCAAAGAAAAAAGTATTGGTCAAATGTTATAAATACTGTATTCCACCTCAGTCTAATCAGCTGGTTAATTAGTTGTAGAAACCCTTTTCTCTAAAGACAATAACAGTAAACTATAGCATATGCTTATTTTAATGAAATTCCATATAATACTTCCCTGTAGAAAATGCCAGTGCCCATTTCTTTTCTTTTGCCATGGGTAGTTAGCTTCAGGGAGCCATATGGGGCTTTCCCCAGAAAACCAGCCTTAAATGTAATGGAAACATCAATTTCTGCCTGAGTCCTGATGGTTCCCTGACACCCTCCCTCCTTCCAGGTCATTGGGGGATTGTTTACATCTACCACAGAACTAAGGGTGGGGAGCTGACCTGAGTTAAGCCCTGTGGGATGACCTAACCTACCATACTCTCACATCCAGGGAGGTGAGGTAGGGATCATGTAAACCCAACCTTTGATAGTTATCAAATGTTGGCGAGTTAATAAATTTCCAGAAAGTTACCAGCTTCAGGTCAGATATTCCAACAGTCTCAGGTGGGATCTGCTGGTATAAAAGGCAGAGACAAGTTGATTGAAAGATTGTGAGTAGAGTCTTTAGACCAGAGATTTGGTGTGAATCAATATGCAGGCGATGAGTCACAATAACGTGGCTAAAGTATGTTGACCAGACCACACACTAGAAGGTGAAGGGACGATGACATTTCGGTCCATGCTGGACCATTCTCAAGTCGAAACGTCGTCGTCCCTTCATCTTCTAGTGTGTGTGGTCTGGTCAACATGGTGTGAATCAAGTTTTCAGAACGAAAAAGAGTTTAGTGTGAGCCAACAGAGCGGATAGAGGTGTGAGTTCAGTGGTGGACACCACAGGGAAAGGGAGAGGATATCTAGTATTGCCCACGAATTTCATCATACGGTATATAGATATTGAACCTGGTGAGTATTTGAGATGATGTACTCTTGTGTTCCATTATTACATGGTTTTGTTAAACTCCATTATTACATGTTTTTGCGAGACATACAGAATAAATTAAATGAAAGAAAAATGTATGGCAAAACCACCGGAAGCTTCAAAATATATGACTATGATTATAGGTAATACAGGACATCACAAGCATATAACTCATCCTATAACTACTGTACATAAATAATTAAAAAATAAAAAATATAAACAAAAACCACAATACAGTACAGTACTGTAATTAAATTAGAGAAACCTTACCCTTAATAGAAGCAAAATTATAATAGTAGAAATTCCAAGGGTTAAATCCTGCCATCTTGTCTCTCCAATATGTTTAAAAAGATTTTTATAAGTTTCTATAATTCCATCACTTGAATATGACAAGCCAAACAAGCCTTTGAGTTGTGAAGAAGCGATGGTTATGGCTGCCGCAGAGGTAAACCCACATATTACTGGTTTGGATATGAAGTTGATAAGAAAACCTAGAAAAAAAAACAAAAAGAACTAAATAATATTTTAAAGAATTGTTTTGAAATGGGACTTTTTTTTTTATTAACAAGCTTAGGTATACACAGCAATGTGCTGCTACCCTATTCTATATGAAAGATTACACAGTGTAAAGAAGAAATTAGCTATAAGTTCATATAATATTCTCATCTCACAGAATGGTTAGTCATACATGGAATCAGGGGAGATAATACCAGCCTCAATACAAAAACAAATCAACTCTGACTAAAAATCAGGAGAACATATGAAATGTAAGGCTGATCTATTAGCCCCCACTAGCAAAATCTGGGTACAGCACAAGACTATCTTCTAATATTCCAGAGTGTATGAAGTAATTACAGAGCTCAATGTACCTCATACCATTTGGTCTGAAGTTGCTTATAACAGGGCAATCACAGATATAGTGTTGGATAATTTTAGGGATTTGCATGGGCTCTTGTGACTTAATATGGGATTATCTTAGTGAGGCTTGCAGTAGGGAGCCACTGAGGGCCCCCAAAAAGACATTTCATTACCGTACGTATATTCTATGCTGGTTTTTAATGCTATTTTAAGAATATATGTACAAATTTTAGCTGTATCATATGAACTATTTAATCATTTTTCCAGCAAACAAATCAAGGAAAGGTCAGTAAAACTTTTTACCTAAGTTACAAAATCCAGCAGCAAGAATTATGAGGCCAGTGAGGAAACACAACAATACAGCGAAGTCGGGGCCACCATTGCCTGAATACTCATGAGTCATAATGGCCATGATAGCTGTGGGCCCAATGGTGATGTCCTTACAGCTGCCAAAAATCAAGTACATGAAGCACCCCATGAAGGATGAGTACAAGCCATACTGTGTGAGGAAAGAGTATCTGTTAGAATATTTTTAGTACAACAGGCAAAGAGGGAGTATGAAAACAAGCTTATCGAGGCAAAGAAAATAATGGTAAAAACTCATAGTTGAATGTAATGAAACGACTCTTTCTGCAAGAGTCCCAATGGCTCCCTGAAGCTATCTTGCCGAGACTGCTACACTGTACATTAGTTTCACAAGTTCTGTTTGGCCTACTGGGAACCAAAACCAGGACCTTGACCCCTCACAGAGGTGCAGGGAGTGGGTGACAGTCTCTCACCCACTGGAAGAAGCCTCCAGAAAGATAGAGGCTGGATGGGAGACAGATCCAGGCAATGCCGAGTATACACCCCTGCTCCTTAGAATACTATAAGATAATGTCTGTTTGTCCAAAGTTGGAAGCCAGATGCTTGGGGTTAGCCTCGCCCAAATTTACAGGTGGAATGGGTCTGAGGTACAGGACGGACATAGGCTGGTTGGGGTCGCCAGAATTCAAGATGGAATAGTGTGCCAAGGTAACATTCTGACCCCAACTTGTATTTTTTGCACTACTGTACCTGCCACCTACACATTTTCAAAATATTAAAATAATCAAAACAGATTTTATCTTATAGAAATGTATACCATTATTCACAGATAATGGAAAAATTAAAAAAAAATTCTTGCTATTGAAACTAAGGCCATAGTCCCATAAACACACACATTCAATTCAGCCCTTCCTTCCCTTCCAAGAGAAAACTGAAGGCCAACCCACAGATTCAAAAGGGGATATTATAAGATGTTTATTCTGGTAAAGGTACATACTGTACATTGAAAATCAGTTACAGACATAATGTAGAATTTATAGATAGAGCTAGTACATACAATGCCTGAAGCCACTAATGTGCACATTTTGGGCAAGTTGTGGAAAAAAACTTAGACTAAAACTTGATACTAATTGAGATTAAAAGCATAAATTGAAGTGAAAAAAAAATAAAACCAGAATGATAATTACATGATGGATGGAACAACATAAAATGCAACAGAACAGCAGAAGGAATTTTAACTAAATAAACAGAAGATTACAATTTTCTTCAAGTTTATACATGGCAGATATTGGCAGTTAAACAAGTTGGTCAATAATCAATATTGTTTGAAAATAGCAAAACATAGGTTCACATTTAGGAGGTAAGGAAGTTACATGGAGTTTATTAGGTAGTAATTAGTTTTTCTCTTAACATATGAGTTACATTTACCAGTTATGTTCATATTAATTTTGCAGAATGTACTAGCCTAAGGTTACTGTATATTTTATCTTGGGCATCAGAAAATACTGTTGCCCACAAAGGTGAACACTTATGGCTGGATACAGAGTAACTTACGTTGGGTGGTAGGCCAGCCACGACAGCATAGGCTATGCCCTGAGGTATGACGGTCAGGCCGACAGTGAAGCCAGCCATCAGATCGCCCTCAAAACATTCCAGATTGTACTTGGGAAGCCATGATGTGATTGGTAGTCTTTTGAACAGCGTTTCTTTGCTGAAGGTGCGTCTGACACCTCTCTGTTGGAATTATTTTGACTTTAGTGCTAATAATATCATTTATTAATAAACAGGGCAGATGCAATGTAAGGTGTGTTAAGGTATGTTTTCCTCTCGAGACACTCATCGTAGAAATCGATCCAAATTTAACTATTTAGATCATAGCAACTACATCAGAGTTCTGTGGCAGCTACTTTCACGTCCGCAGTAATTACAGGTGCCACAAACGACGTCTGCAGTAATTACAGTTACTGAAAACGACGTTTACAGTAATTGCAGGTGCTACAAACGACGACTAGGAATTACAGGTGCTACCAACGACGTCCACAGCAAAATCAGGTGCTACAAAAGATGTCCGCACATTTTCCCCAGAATCAAGCAGTTCACATCAATGAAACAGCATTGGTCCAGAGTCAGGTGGATGAGGATATAAGGCCATATGACCAAAGCAACGTGGGCATCACGCCGTGCAAATCAGCATCACAGACATACAGAGTTTCTCCCATCCCTGTTCGAGCCGTTGAGGCAGTAGCTGTTGAACCTTTGAGTTCCTTGCACTCGCCGTATGGTACTTGCATATAGATACCAATTTGATCTACACGGTGAAAGTTCGTTTCCGGAAGACCCATCAGTAAGTATATCCAGAGGCATCTGATGCCTGTCGGGGTCCAATGACACCTGTCGACATTCTAGAAAATGGCAATATGGTGCTCGATTCAACTTGTCCAGTGTAGAGGCACTTCAGAAACTACCCTTGAAAGTAAGAATGCACTGCAAGAGGTTTGCCTCTTAACTGCTACTCCCACCACGACATTACCAGGTTGAGAGGAACCTCTTTGTCAGGATCGTCAGTTCCTGGATATCAGACAGGCCTCTAGCTGAGATTGTTAAGAGCATCGACATCCAAAACCCGACCTTAACTGCTGTTTATCTGGAAAGTAGACAGTCAGCGACTAGAAGGAGTTCCAGTAGATACTCTAAATACTTTCGCTGGTAACAAAAGCTTTACTTTGGAGGATAGTTTTACTAGAAAAATGATTCTAAGTAAATTATATGTAGATCTCGATAAATGGTTGAATGTAAGCAGTCCCATTAGCCACGTTTCTTGGGGGTATGGAGAAGGTTACGAGGGATAGCATCCAGATGAACACCTCTATTAATAACTCCAGTTCTCAGAATAGCAGGACTACAGAAAGGACACATGACCATAATGCCATAGAAGACATTACTGCAGGTGCAACGGCAGTCTTTAATAGAGGTGACATGGTCAAGAAGGATTAAAGACAAATGGGGGGATCTTTGACAAGCTGCTGGGTTCCTGTCCTCGTTCGAGGCCACTATTGTGTTATTGGCCCTCAGGTAAGTCAATTGACAGTAGCATTCTCTGAACATTATTGTCATCCAGAAACCAAGCAATGAAGGCACAATCAATGACAGGTATTCCACTACTGGGAATTGCTGCTTCACCACTATGGCCAAGCAGTATACTGCCATCAAGCAATGACTTCAGAGAAAATAGAGTGATTAAGTCATAATGTGTGAGAATATATGACAGGAAGCTGTCTCGTGCTGCTACTACTCCATAACACACACACACACACTCCTCTTTCAAGTGCTCCAGCAACTATGGTTATTAGTATTGTCAGCATAGGCAACTATAGTTATTAGTTACCTTAATTATGGCAGCGGTCCTGGTGGGGCAACTGCGAGACATGATGCCTGCAGACTTGCCCGGCGTGGTGTTGGCTGCTGCCTCGCCCCCTGCGGAAACCACATCAATGTTAGTCTCTCTCTACACTGCTCAAGTCACTCTTAAACCCTTCAGTAACTGTGCTCCTAAATCTCTCTTATCACCACACACTGGTACATGTGTAGCATGTGTAATACACTTGTTCCATACTCTCATTAGCTTATGTGCAGATAATGAGATGGGTTTGTTAATCCTATGTAACCTATCTCTTAAGTTATCGTATTCCTAATTCCCAAGTGTACAATTAATTACAGTTAGTACTTCTTCCCAACCTGCTAGAGGATAGTTAGGTGAGGTGGAGACTGGTAATATGACCAGTCGACAGTGAATCATCATCCACGACTAAAAATCGCATTCACTCTAAACATCTACCACTTACGGGCTACTCATGCCCATACCACCTCTTGGGTGGCTTAATCTTCATCAATCAATCATCACCAGTCTAACTCCAAGAGTGGTTCAGTACAAACGCTTGAGAGATATACCACACAGCTTCAACAATGTAACACTCGACGTGTCTAGTTCTACCCTCACAAGACGCCTCAGTCTCGACACAGAGCAGACAGCCAGACTCCGGCCGCATCGAGCTTCCAAGCTCTCGTCCCGCACTCGAGCTCTTCGACTCCGCCCACATTCAGAGCGCCACGTTCTATACACTCACACAGCATCCAAGCTCTCCACCCCTGGCCTCCCTCAGCTCTCTGCCCTGCTCCAGGCTTCATCTCAACTACAACATTTCACTACATTGCCAACAAACCAACTGCTGTAACCATGACTATACTAAATATAAAAAAAACACTAAACCTTTTGTGTCTAATCAACCAAATACGTAAACGTAAGTTACATATTTAAGAAACATTAGCATATGGGGGTCTGACGGCTGAGTGGACAGCGCTCAGGGTTCATAATCCTAAGGTTCCGGGTTTGATCCCCGATGGAGGCGGAAACAAATGGGCAGAGTTTCTTCCACCCTGATGCCCCTCTTCACCTAGCAGTAAATAGGTACCTGGGAGTTACAGTTGCTACAGGCTGCTTCTTCCTGGGGTTGTGTAACAAATAGGAGGCCTGGTCGAGGACCGGGCCGCGGGGACGCTAAGCCCCAAAATCATCTCAAGATAACCTCAAGATATTAAAGTTCATAAAAGCATAATGTATACGAATACACTCTGGCTTCCTGTCCCTCGACACAGTGAATTATTGATTATTATTATATTATCTGAAATGTAATATTTATAAAACAAAATGTGTCTAAAATCTCTGTGGGGATATAGAAGGAAGTTTACTGGAATATATTACAACCCCAAAGTGCTTTCAGAGATTGTGTTGACAAGTTAGCATTACACAAGCTTCCGGTCTCCAGTGTGTGAGTTCATCAGGGTTATTTATTTCGTTGTCATGTTATTCTCTGTGAACTTTGAATTAGATGTTGACGTAGCGTGCTTAAGGGGGCGTCTGGTTGGCATCTGGGTCCAAAAATGCAAAAATGAAAACTCGTTCGATTTCAATCAAACTTTTTTGACAAGTTCTATATGAAAAGTGTTTCATCTGGTCCAAGTTTCAGCATCGTAGCATAAATAGGAAGGGAGAAAAAAAATATTGAAGTACTGCAGTAGTTGTGAAAATTATGCAAAAATGGTCAAAATCGATTATCAATCAAAAGTGTCAACTGAAATCATAGCTACGACTCTTTGCTATCACAATAGCATATATTAAACAAATATTATAATTAGTTTAATTGGAAAATTTTTTAAGAAAATTTAAATTTTCAATATTTTTTTTTTTTCTTTTTTTTTCGGGCGATTTGCATCAAACTTACACACCTGACTGTACGTAAGCCTATCTGTAAGGATACCAATTTTGGAGAAAATTGGTTGATGTCAAACTCAGCCACAGATTTTAGAACCTTAGACTTTATTCATTTCTGTTTTTTTTTCAATTGACACAAACATTTACAAAACTGATTCCTTTTTTATTCAATTTACATGAAACTTACACAGTATATGTGGAGGGCATGTCTCTACATTGGGGGGCTTTCATTTTACTCTAAGTTCATTTATTGATTTTATAATAGCAATAAACATGCCATATTTGCAAAAAAATTTTGGGGAACTTTGAACATTTGTATTAGGAAAACTAAAGATGTTTTGGAAATTCTAAAGCCCCAAATCCTTTATTATATGCTAATGTGTCAGAAAAGTGTCACAGAATAATTATATCTGAAACGTGTGCTCTGAAGTGTGGACTTGAAAATGTGTAAAAAACGTTGAAAAAAAAAAAAAAATTCCTTTCTATTTACGCTGCAGTACTGAAACTTGGGACAATTTAAGCACTTTTCATATACAACTAGAAAATTAATATTGGTTGACATTGAACAACTTTTATCTATAATCCTCTGACTCCCCCTTAAGGATGTTGAATAATGTCAGGCTAAGTTCACCAGCTTGGGAGGAGGGTGTCCCCAGATTAATGGTGTAAATGTGTAGTTCGCCAGCTTGGGGGGGGGGGTGTCCCCAGATTAATGGTGTAAATGTGTAGTTCGCCAGCTTGGGGGAGGGTGTCCTCCAGATTAATGGTGTAAATGTGTAGTTCGCCAGCTTGGGGGGGGGGGGTGTCCCCCAGATTAATGGTGTAAATGTGTAGTTCGCCAGCTTAGGGGGGGGGGGGTGTCCCCAGATTATTGGTGTAAATGTGTAGTTCACCAGCTTGGGGGGGGGGTGTCCCCAGATTAATGGTGTAAATGTGTAGTTCGCCAGCTTGGGGGGGGGGGGGGGTGTCCCCAGATTAATGGTGTAAATGTGTAGTTCACCAGCTTGGGGGGGGAAAGTTCCCCAGATTAATGGTGTAAATGTGTAGTTCACCAGCTTGGGGGGGGGGGGTCCCCAGATTAATAGTGTAAACATGTAGTTCACCAGCTTGGGGAGGGGGGGGGGTGTCCCCAGATTAATAGTGTAAACATGTAGTTCACCAGCTTGGGGGGGGGGTCCCCAGATTAATAGTGTAAACATGTAGTTAACCAGCTTGGGGGGGGGGGGGGTGTCCCCAGATTAATAGTGTAAACATGTAGTTCACCAGCTTGGGGGGGGGGGAGTGTCCCCAGATTAATGGTGCAAATGTGCAGTTCACCAGCTTGGGGGGGGGGGGTGTCCCCAGATTAATGGTGTAAATGTGCAGTTCACCAGCTTGGGGGGGGGGAATATCCCCCCAGATTAATAGTGTAAATGCAGTGTTACTTGCAGAAACATATTCTTGTCCTGTTCTTGGACACTTACATGTTCAACTGTTCATTTACTTAAACTTTTACTCAAAGTTTAAGTAATTCACGCAGTTATATTGTACTATTTGATTTTGTCAAGTGCAACCTTCTGTTCGGAAATCATGGCAATAACTCCTGGGTTATCAGCCATACAGGCAGCAAGTCAGCAGTAGCATTGTCTTCCCTCAAGTCATGTACTTAATACCAAAGAACCAAAGGTCTCTGTTAAGGACCATTCTGGCCCGTCTTGCCAGAGAAGTTATGCAAATCATTGTGAATTCGTGTTTTGTAATGCGAATAATAGTTCCTTTCTCCACATTAGCAACTCATTATTTAATGAGTTATTAGTAATTCGTTTTTACAAAATTCAAATTTGAATTTTTGAATTTTTGAATTTCGATTTTTTTTAATATGATTAACGTCATGTATGACGCCTTCCCCACGTCACTGGGGATATTGTCATGGGGTATCTGGCAATATATCTCCCGGGATGGGCTATTATCCTATGCGTCAGTTTTAGGATCAATATATCCAAATACATGATGATGTTACAGCTGACGGTTGGAGTGGAGAGTTGCTTTATGGGGGGTACTCACCCTTATCTCTTACATCATGTCAACACAAGTCAAGACCTTAGTTATCTGTCCATGAGGCAAATTGAAATTGAAATAAGTTTATTGAATGAGGCAAAGTCACACCAAATGTTGCCTCTGAAGAATTGGTCCAGTGTACATCTTGTTGTCAAGGTTAATGTTAATGATTTAGGTGAGCTGTAGGTGTTGTCAACACCTGTGTCCCACTCTAACACCTGTGTTTTTGTGCCAGAAACTCAGTGAAAATTATATCTATGGAAGTCATTTCATGGCTTGCATGCCACTGGCTTATTGCAAGTAGAAAATGATTTGTTTTTGAAATACCTGAAATAAGTGTGTTGGCTATTTGAGGCTTGTCTATCTTGGAGTAGTGAAGTACAGAAGACAAGTAGTCTGCTCTTAATCACCTAAGTGTCATGTTCTAGATAAGGGTCAAGAGTATAGGGTTATGTAGCTTAAGTTTGTCTCAGACGATCTGTGTTTTTGTACGAACTGTTCTTGTTAAGGTTAGTGGATCAGCCTGGCTGTGATGGCTTTGTGGGCCTTCGAACTAGGAAGAAAAACAGCTTCAAGGACCAAACAATCACCAGGGGAGGCAGGCTGCGGGAGTAGAAAAACTCTGGAAATTGTACAGTTAATCAAAGTAACTTGATGTTGTGGTAAGTGGTAAGATAAGTGGTAAGATAGTCGTTACTACTGAACCCCTGAATATTAGTCACATCGGTGCGGGAGCGGACAGGGAGGAGCTATAGAAGTTGTACCATGATGGTCACAGACCCCTGGGTAATACTGGGAAGAGGCGAGGGACCATCTAAGTAATGTAGATGTAGTGTCCACATTGATATCTTGACTACCACTGACAGCAGTGAAGACTGTCAGAGCCTGATGCATCCAATGATAACCTGTAACATATATATGTTATATGTTATAACATATATATGATATAACATAGAGGGGGTCTCTATTTTCCTCGTACCCTTGAGTACATGCACATAATACCCATACCGTCAAGTGCATAGTTTCTGAGGCTATATTTTACTTATAAGTCAATTTATGTAGCAAATTATCTCCTGAAACACTTTATTGACGTTAATATGTACGTTAAAGAGGCTTGACAGTAATTAATGGGATGTCTCACCTGCCCCAGGTACTGAGTGATAGTCAC